CTTTAAGAAGAAGAAGAAGAAGAAGAAGGTAAAGATACAAATTATGAACAAATACACATCTATCAACAAGTGAATCTAAAAATCAAGTGAATAAAAAATCTGTCGAACAGAATAAACTGGTGAATAGAATAGGATCAGGGGCATAGAAAGGGAGTGGACTGACAATTCTCGGGGGAAAGGAGGTGTGGTGGTGCGGGAGGAGACTGGACAAAAATCGTACACCTATGGACAAAGACAGTGCGGGGGGTAAGGGAAGGAGGTGGGGTGGGAACAGGGTGGAGAGGAGCTATGGAGGGGAAAAGAGGAACAACTGTAATAATCTGAACAACAAAGATTTATTAAAAAAATAAATAAAAATAAAAATGGATTTTCAGGAAAAAAAAGGAGCATGTATTTTAACTAGCGTAAATAGCTATATGTAGATCACTGAAAAACATCTGTTCTCCCAATGCAGCTTGCATGTCCCCCCATCCTGTTTCAGTATACCTTCTGGGTAGATGTTTACATTAATCTCAGTCTAAAAAATCTCTTTGAGTCAGAATAATGTCCAATGTCAAATTTTACTTTCTTCTTTTGAAAAGAAGGGAGAAATGAGATAATTTGTTCCATTAATCCATGGTGGCAAAGCTAATGCAACATTTGAAGTATATCAGACACTGTAAGTTGAATCTCTTTGACTAGTGAATTTCAAGATGAATTACTCATTTATTCTGATATATGTAAAACATAGATAAAATTAAGCAATGCTTATTTTTTTAAAGCTCCTGATTGTAGCTTGTACTTTTTTGTAAGTTAGAGAATTTCCTAAATGCATTGTCCTATAGCCAGAAAATTCTCAATGACACTATAACCTGAAGACCTGGATCTATATTGCTTTTCTTTTAACATTGAATGTCATTCAATGAAGTCACTTAAATTGGGGGAACAAAGGTTTTCTCACTTATAATTTGGAAATAATAACACACTGTCTAATGTTGCTAGGGGCATCATCCTATCTAATAAAAGAGAAACATGGTAATTAGCCATACCTCCGCTACCCTTCCCATTGGCTAATCAGGGCGATATGCAAATTAACTGCCAGCCAAGATGGCGGCCGGCAGCCAGGCAGCTTGAAGCGAACATGAGGCTTGCTTGCTTCAGTGACGGAGGAAGCCAACGTTCCCCGCCTGC